AGGGGGTCCTTTTGTCCCTCTGTGGGGGGACACTCCCACCAGGTTTATATCTGGGACTCTCCACCATTTGACCTTAGAACTGAAGAAGCCTCTCGGATGAGAGGTGAAACGTCTTCAAGTAACTTAAAGAAGTCCAGACGCTTTTCTTTGTATTTGAATACAGAAACAAGGTGAATAGGATAGTAACTGTGCTGGTCTTCTGCATGCTGACGCTACCTATAGATTATTTTTAAACCAGATTTAGTTTACTTTTTATTAGTGAGTGAATTGCACTTAAATACAAGCATAAGAAGGCAGAATCTGTGGCCATAAAGCCAGAAGCTTTTCAGATATTTCTGTTAATCCCATAGAATGTCATTTTAAAATATGACTATTGTCAATACATTAAATATTAATATAAAGTCAAACCAACTACCAAGTGTACACAACAAGTTTGAGCCAGTATGCTTTGCATTCTGGGATGCAGCAAGGTAATATAGATGTGCCAAGATCTGTATGCGGTAACTAGCTGTGAAATGATCATGTAGGCTCTGTTCTCAAATAGTCCAGAACAAAGCACCTTCTTCCTGTATGTACCTTTGTTGCTCCCGATAAAGCAGACTAACAATTCCCAGATGGTTTGTAATGATGCATTTTGGTTTGCCCACGAGATCTCATAGTTAAAAACCTCATAGTACCATATCAGCCCTGTCTTGTGCTGTATTGCGGCTTCCCGCCCTCATTTCTAAGTACATTTCATGACAAAAACACATACAGACACTTTCTATCTCTCTCTCTCACACACACTCACACTCTACAAGAAGATTGTTAAATTATGCATCTGTGCATTTTAATATTTTTGAGCTGTATGTTTTGGGGGGAGGTTCTTACAGGTGCAGCATTTCTATGTTGGCGGTCTAGAGAAGATTTCCATGAATGATCTGCTGGCACTTCATGATCATACATCCTGTCAGATCTCCATGGTGAGGATTCTGACATGTCTATCTCAGTGGATAACACATCTGGCATTTGGTGTAGGTGAATGTAGCTGTTCACAGTAATGTGGAATTGGGTCTTGTTGATTGTTAAATTAAAGCACAACACCTGCAAGCTGGTTTGTTAAATACTGTTAAAATACTGTGTGTGTGAAGCTGTTGTAAAACCAGTCTAATGCTAAAAATGCCAAAATACAAGCTATTTCAGATCATTCTGATAATGACAGTAACTGTGGGTTTCTCTAGACCATAGGTGTCAAACTCTGGCCCACGGGCCAAATTTGGCCCGCAGCCTAATTACATTTGGCCCGCGAAGCCATACCAAATTACTATTAGAGCTGGCCTACTGGTATTATACAGCTAATATATATATTGTTTAGTATTAAGCTATGCTTGTTCCATATTCAGTTTTTCAGCAAAACTTGTTTGGGTCCATAAGAAAAGATTCATTCTCATATCTGGAGGAAGATTTTTTTTTTCCAATAAATAGTAATGTTAGCCCGCAACTTTGTTCCAGTTTTGAATTTTGGCCACTGTGTATTTGAGTTTGACACCCCTGCTCTAGACTGTCTCAGGTTGATGTTATTTCTTTGTCTAAAATATAGTACTGATGACTCATTCAAACTTACAGACTTTATGAAAAGAGCACAAAATACTGTAAGCACAAATATTTTTGTTCATGGGCAGCAGGAAGCATCAGCTAAAAGCCACGCCCCTGCTACTTCCATACCGTGCCACCAGAGGCGCAACAGCTGTTCTCCAATCCAGCAGGTGGCGGTATTCCACCTTAGAGCTGTTTGCCATTGACACTAAAGAAGAGAGCGGGTCGAGCAGATAGTAAACGGAGTAGTCGACACAATGCTGAAACAAAGTGTGCGCTGAGAAACTATATAAGGATCAACCTTTAAAATATACTGTTTGACGTTTTTGGGGTTTACTAAAAACCAACGCAGTCAAAGTCAAACTCGGTGCTTTAAGGTCCTTGGAACACGCGGAGACGCCCCTTGCAGTAGCAGCTAACTTGAGTTATCAGTATAACGTACAGGTGTGTGGGGTCGTGGGGAGCTCGGTGACTTGTAGAGCATTCAGAAGCCTCGGGGGCACAATGCAAGAGGACTGTTTGTGAAGAACGACTCCATCCACGGTAAGGCACACCCACGGCTCTGACTTAGCAGGTCGTTAGTGAAGCTAGCCTTAGCTCCTATCGAAGTTGCTTGACAGGTCAGCTCGTAGTTCGTAATTTATCCTTGAGGAGCTACTCCAGACTGTTAACAGGACTTTGTGTCATGGTCAAGAACAAAGATGGAGGAACATATGAGAAACAGAAGCTTAATCAGAGATTGTGCAGCCGGAGTACTTGATGACATAGATTAGCTTGCACAAAGATGATGAAAGCGTCAGTGTTAATATAGCTTGGCGCAACGTGCCGAGTGTTTTTATTTTATTTTATTTGTGTTTATATTAAAAGCAGCATTAAGAAGAGCTTGATGGCACTGTTGCAATATTATCTTCAGCACTGTGTGAAAGGTCGCAGGGGCGGTGACGGAGCGCAACCAGCAGTTTTGACTCTGCGTGGATGAGGTGAAGATCGACACGTGATATTCTTTTCAAATGTAATGAAGCTTTCATAGATCTGCAGTGCCATCTTTGTCGGTATTCTCATAAACCCACACTCACATAGCGGGGTGCCGCTAAAAATGATCAGTGTAATTTTCCAAAGCTGTGCGGGAAGTCGTCCTCAGTCGTTTTAGCCCGTTGCTCTCTGTGTACTCTTTCCACACTGACAAAAATGACTTGACATCAGGCTCATGTTTTCCTAACAGCAGGTATCAGCAATAAGAAGCAGTTATTTCCCAGATACTACACGGAGCCTGATTCATTTAAAAGAAACTTGCTTAGTGTTCATTTGTGGTTCGAGGCTGATATGTCACATGTTTGGGAAGTTATTTTGTTACAGGTTGCAGTATTATAGTATTATTGTAGTATTATACCCTGTATCAAGTTCTCAAAACAGAAGAGTATTCGGATATGAATACTACATTTTATATTGAATTTAGATACTCATTTGCAACAGTATCCACAAACTGTGCCATCTTTGCCTCCTCCAGCTGACACAAACCCACTGCTGCTCCTCACTAATGGCTTCCGTAGTTAACCTTCATCACACTAAACCAATACTTCAGGATGATGTTCAGAAGTCAGTATTAAACAGTTATCATAACTGTTAACCTGGCTTACTGCACACGTTAACATTAACCCTTTTACTATTAGCATTTAACCTTAAGACTACTGAGCAATTCAAGTAACAACTAGTGGACTGTAGTTAGATAAAGGATGAATAATTATTGCAAGCTGAATCGGCTGTAAATGGAATATTGAGCCGTGACAGAATGGATTAGGTACACGTGGAGACCCAGGCGGGCTGCTGGCTGTCCAGAGCAGCTGGGGAAGTGTAGCTGAACTGAGCAGGGAGTCCAGAGTGTAGAGAACTAATGGGAGCAATAAAGAGTGAAATCAGTGCAGCGCAGAAGAATTAGATGAGCTGAGGGGGAAAGAGCTGTAGACTGAGGAGGGTCAGCATGGATGGTGGATGAGAGAGAAACCGCAGGGGACAAGATGAAAATCTTTAAGTTTTCTACTTTTACAATATTGTTTTCAAATTTGACTCTGATTTAGATATAGCAGTTGTGATGTCAGTGACTGCTACAGTCTTTCACAGTGGGCACTCTTTTTTTTTTTTTTTTTAAATCTTCTTTATCTTAACTTATTATTATTTGTACTATGCTTCATCCAAAGTTTATTTGTAACTTTTTTAAATACATTTTTAGATGTTAGGTATTTTGCTGTTTGTTATATTGCTTGTTTATTTAGGTTCTATAGGTTCTAAAATCACAGAGCCAGCCTTCCTAGTAAGTTTATTCAGTGTGTTACTTTTACCAGCTCTGATGCTGCTGCCCCAGCAGACAACAGCAAAGAAAAAGTACAGTAAGCTTACCACAACTGACAGGTAATCTCTTATCATATTGCTGCCCATGTTGAAGGATATCAGCTTCCTTAGCAAATAGGGGCTTCTCATTCCGTTCTTGTTTCCAGGCTTTGTGCTCGTCATCCACTTCACCCTGTTGTGGATGTGGAGGCCCAAGTACATAAGTACTCCTTGTCCCAGGATAGACACGGACTGTGTAGCCATCCTCTTCCTTCTGAAGATGACCCTTTAATTTGGTCTTTTTTTTACATTTAGGAGCCATTAGTCTGAGAGAGGGAAACAAGGCTGTGCTTAAAAACACACAGAGCAGACTGTTGGCCAATGATAATATTTAAATAAATCAGATAATCAGCTGTCAGAACATCAGCAAAGTTACCATAGTGACAACATTATTTGGCTTGGCGCTTAAAGGCTTATAAGACCCAGACTGTAAATGGTATCTTCTTGCTTTAGAGATCAAGAGAAGAAGTTGCTCTACATGTGTGTTCTGTGCTGTGAAAATGTATTCAAAGAAAGAAAGAGTGAAAAACAGCTGCTTTCTGCTTTTCTTAAATCAATCTAAATATAATAGAACTGCATCAAGCACTGAAATAGCACTCCTTTCATTCAAATACCTCCAGATCAAAAAGTATACATCTGTTGCCTTTGAGGAGCACCTTGTGGGAAAGGGGACACATTTTCCTACAATTTGAGGATCAAATGATGGCTCTAGATTGAAAATTGTGGATTCCCCAGCAGGTTGAAGAGAAAAATATAATTAGATTTATTTTCTGCCCAGCCTGTTGCCTAAATCAGTCCATTGCTGTCAGGTTGATTCGATGTGGAATGACCTCTCTATGTCAAATGTTTGGGAGGAAAGATGCCTAGAGTAAGAAAATTGACAGATTATTGATATGAATGAAGATGTTTGGTAATAAATGTTAAGACTTTATTAACAATAAGCCATGCCTCAATGGTTGTTTTGGTTTCTTTATTAGAAAAATGGTGTGAGAGAGTGTGATAATGATAATTGTAAAGGTAACAGTTTTTGTTTACAACAAATAATAGGCTGTCACCAATAAAATTGTCTTTTAAGGCTACCCCTAGCATGCAGTGCACTATTAGACGAGTATTGGTCGAATTCCTATTTCAGACAGCTTGTCAGTCCAGTTTGCAGTAAGAAAGTAAATGTGCTTGCACTGAATAATGTGTCGCTTTTGCTAAACATACGGGGTGTGTCTGTGATGTTTTATCTCTCTAGTGCCATGTCTCTGGTATTTCCACGACTCAGCACCAACCCATTTCATAGCAAGAAGGAAAAGAGAATCATGGCGGAAGTGAACGCATCACCGCTTAAACATTTTGTCACAGCAAAGAAGAAGATCAACGGGATCTTTGAGCAGCTGGGGGCTTACATCAAGGAGAGTGCTTCCTTCCTGGAAGGTACTACAACACCGAACACACACTCTTACCACTTTACTACACGTAAAAGTCACAAATGTAAAGAGTCTTGCTTGAATTGATCTTTTTCTGGACTCTGTCCAAACCACTTGGCCATGCCTATCAGTGTTGCAATGTTTTCCCAGCTTGTATCTTTGATCCTGCTACTATGCGCTGGCCAGTCCCAGGTAACCTTTGTGCTGTCAGCTGGGATAGACTGTTGTTATTTTATTTCCCCGCAGTACAGATAGCATGACAGCAGCCTGCATGCTTTTTGTCATAGAGATGCTTTAAGCCTGCTGTGGGCACGTAGTACAGTCGGAACATTACTTGGAGACACAAAAAGACAACAGGGAGCCTTGCATTCATTAAGGTCAGCTGGCCACAGAATTGGCACATTCTTCAGTTTTCAAATGCATTTGGATCGATGATTGATTGATTGATTGATTGATCGATCGATCGATCAACTGTGTCATGTTTATGACCTAAGCATCAGACCCCAAAATCCTGAGGGGGCGGGGGGGACTAGACCAAGTAAGGCTTTCGTATCATTTTTTAGATTGAAAGTGAAATCGTATAAAATACTGTATTAATTAAATTGCATTCATATTTAAAAATATAAATATAAAATCTTTTTTCACAAGCCAGTAAAAATGTACATGGGCCAGTAAAACTCAGAGGGTTGTTAGGAAAGACACCAAATTATTATTAATATTAATTAACGTCTACACCAGGGGTGTCCAACTCCAGGCCTTGAGGGCCGGTGTCCTGCAGGTTTTAGATCTCACCCTGGGTCAACACACCTGAATCACATGATTAGTTCATTACCAGGCCTCTGGAGAACTTCAAGACATGTTGAGGAGGTCATTTAGCCATTTCAATCAGCTGTGTTGGATCAAGGACACATCTAAAACCTGCAGGACACCGGCACTCGAGGCCTGGAGTTGGACACCCCTGATTTACACCATCATAACATCTGTTTTCAGCAGCACTAAAACTTGCCTCCTTTTAATGTCAGAAAGTCTTATGGGATTAAGATGTTTTCTTTTAAAAAAAAATAATGTCAATATGACATGTACATACAATCCAAGTTTTTTTTTTTTTTAAACGGATGTCGTATGCAGTTAAACTTTACAACATTGCAATTTTTAAAATGGAAACCAGTAAGCAGTTTATTCTGTAAGAGCTGTGTTTTTTTTCCTCATTGCTCATTAATGTAAAAAAAAAAAGTGTTTCTTATCCGATTACTCTATTAACCGATGGATTACTAAAATAATCGATAGTCGTAACCCTAGTCTGTTTCACACTGAATTATGTGAGTGTACTACATCCTGTAGTCGAGGCACACTGAAGTTCACAGGGAGTGGTCAGTAAAATTTATCAGCACAAGCCTGATATACGGCACTACACAACACAGGAAATCCAATTAACGCAGTAAGATCATGTTGAACGCAAGCACATGTCTGGACGAAGACAAAGAAGATCTTCTTTGTCAGATTACCCCCCCCCCCGCGCCCGCACCAAAACCCCTGATAATCTGTGGCTGGTTGCTTAGTGTGTTTTGAGTGCGTGTTCTGTTGTTCATGCTACAGCCATCAGTGCTCACAGAGTTTGAATGAGGTGATCTGTCCAGCGTCATACTATTTCTTTCATAGTCAGGCCTTTTTTGTCATTGAAGGTCTGTGTTTTGATCTTGAGAAGGCGGCATAAATCACTTTGAATGAATATGATAACTTTCAGCATGAAAAGCTAACCTCCGCCTGATGACTTTGACATATTAGATGCATACAAAAGTGAAGAGCTAGACCCGGTTGCCACGGAGGAGCAGGTCCAGGAGGTCCAGGGTTATCTTGCCAAGGTGACTGGCATTGGAGAAGTTCTAGCCCGCCGGCATATGAAGGTGGTTTTCTTTGGAAGGTATGTACACTTAAAATAAGTGCGAGTTTATTTCATGACTCGAAGTAGAATTGTGTTGAATGCTGATCACAGCTTTGCTACGTGTTCTTCAGGACCAGTAATGGGAAGAGCTCAGTAATCAATGCCATGCTGTGTGACAAGGTTCTGCCATCTGGGATAGGACACACTACCAACTGCTTTCTGAGGGTGGAGGGCACAGATGGGAATGAGGCCTTCATTCTCACTGGAGGCTCTGAGGAGAGGAAGAACATAAAGGTGAGCAAAGCCGACTAAGTCGACTTTGTGTGGAAAGGAAGCTTCATATCTGACTCTTATGTTGTCTGTGGTTCCAGACAGTGAACCAGCTGGCCCATGCTCTCCACCAGGATGAAGATCTGGATGCTGGCAGCCTTGTTTGTGTCATGTGGCCTAAGGCCAAGTGTGCTCTGCTCAGGGATGATCTAGTGCTGGTGGACAGGTCAGATACATGTTTTGTGGAATAATTCTAGGGGTCTTGCAAGTAGTTGAGGCCATTTTTAAAGTCCAGTTCCTTTTCCAGAAAATGTGTGGTCCCATTGAAAATGTAAATCAAATTGCAGTGATTTGGAAATCATTTGAAGTGTGTGTGATAGTCCAAAGACAAGGTATCAGAGTTGGAAAACTGAGAAATGTGTTCTTTTAAAATATATGTTCTATCTGAATTTGAAGCCACCAACCAACCTGTTTAAAAAGAAGCTGGGACAGGGGTTATAACAGACCTGAAAAGCTTTGTCTTGCTTTTCTCACAACTAACAAACTTGAGAGTTTTGTTTAAAGAGCATCCTGTGGAGTCTATACCTTGTAGTAAAGTTGTGAAGCAATATAGGAGTAGTATTTCTCAAGTCAGATTTTGAGATTGCATCACGTATAAACATGTCATTCAAAGAATTTGGATTAAATCTCTGCAAGCAAAGCACAATATGGAGACAGCAGTGCGCTAAAAAACAAATCAGAGCTTTAGCTAAGGCTGACGACCTCTCCAAGCAGCCTCAGTCAAACTACGAACTCACATACAAGTTCTCTTTCAGCATTTGCACTGTTTGCACTTAAAATTTGGAAACACAGCTGGTGGTAAAAGAAGCTGTTTTATATTTATTTAGCTGCCCCCTTGAAATCTAAGCTTTATTCTAGCGCAGTGGTGGGCAACTCCAGGCCTCGAGGGCCGGTGTCCTGCAGGTTTTAGTTGTATCCTTGATCCAACACAGCTGATTTAAATGGCTAAATGACCTCCTCAACGGCTGTGTCCCATTTCAGGGTCTGCACGCTTGAAGTACGCGCACTACGCGTAGTACGTACGGTGCGTACTATAAGTACGAGAAGTGCGGAAGTGAGAGGCTTGTGAAATGGGACGGTATATGCTTCGTCACGCTGTTCAGGTTGCCTAGCAACCATGATACTAACCGCGAGACACGTTACATACAGCTTTGT